GTTATACTCCTTTTCAGGACCYAGGGACTAGGTTGGAGCAGCATGGCTGAAGACATGGTTAGAAAGGAAGTTTTCTTTGATGGGAGAACTTTCGGGCCACCCAAACAGAATGTGGACTCTGTTAGTGGCATCTAATGTGATTGTTCCCTTGATGCCTTTTCCGAAGTTGAGAACATACCTGAATGTTTTCAGCCTGTCTCACTGAAGAGGCTTAKTTTTTTGGTTTTGGTTTTTGTGGTGCTGAGGATGAACCCAGAGTCTTGTACATGCTAGGCAAGTGCTCCATCACTGAAGTACACCTCCATTCCAGAACCTTTACCTTTTGAATCTGCCCTCTTGTTTTTATATTGCATTATCAACTTGATTGCTCTTTTGGACCATTTCTGATTCGTTATCTTATTCTAGAAGTGAGTCAAAAGAAACTTCACACAGATGGGTCTGAACCCTAGTGTTTTTCATAAATGATATTTCTCCTTTGTGTTCAATATCCTTGTTGCTAACCATCATTTTCCTGTTCTTAGTGGCCAAATACTGTATTAGACCATGTGATAGGATAGACATAAGTTCAAGAAATCTTTCCTAGGTCACAAGTCAGTGAGGATCTCATTATCCCACCATTTTCATTTGAATCAATCAACATACCCAGTTTAACATGAAATCTTTAGAAGTGTTATGCTACAAATCATTTTTGTTTTTCCAAATCATTTACAAATATAATGAATATTTTAGCACTGATCCATGGAACCCAGTTACCTGTTTTGTGTATCCTCTTCTATTCTTTGTGTCCATTTCTAGCAGACATATAGTAATAACAGGAAGATTTCATAATCATTCCCATTTATGTATTTTTTTTTAAAAAAAAGAAAAACCAATACTTAGGTATAAAGCTTTTTGAAGTCTTTTTGAAAACCTGTAAAGTACGTATTTACCAGTAACTGTGCTTCCTTCCTCCAAGAACCCTGGTAGGTATGATTTACTCCTACAACAACTATTTGTTTTATCTTGTTGATTCTTTTAAAATTCCTACTATGTGAAAGGCTCTGAAATGGTTGTAGAATGGAAGGAGGCAATATGAATCCTACCCTCAACTTAGGGTTCACGGTGCTAATAAGATATGCACCAAGTAGCCACAATACAACTATTCACAGAGGACAAGGCATTCACAGAGATGGGAACAACACACCAAGGCAGAGAGTCTGGGTAATTTGTGACACAGGGAACTGTGATCTTTCTAATTGCTTGGAGCAGAGGATCTGAAAGCAGATAGATGGAAAGTGTGGAAGCTAGGTACAGCCAGATTCTAAAAGGATCTGAATATGAAGCTAAGGACTTTAGATTTCATCTAGTAGGTAATAGAAAACCTTTTATTATTAGTACTACTACTATTATTATTATTGTTAAAGTAAAGCAGTGAAGTAAAGTAAACAGCTGTCCTTTAAAATATGTAACATGGCACATAATGGAGGCGGCTGTAGCCCAAAAATACAACACGAGAGGAGGTGGGAGGTGGGAAGTCAGAACTCTAGAAAGGCTCTGGTTGGGAAATATATGAAAGATGCAAGAATAAAAAGGGATGCAAATATCTGAGAGGTGATTTAAATTCTTCCTTTAGAACCATTTCCCAGCCTCTCTGCCTGCCAATGAAAAGTAGCAGGCAACATATCATTTACTTTCAAGGAGGAGAAAAGAAAGAAGACTCTTTTCTAAAGGAATTGAATGTACTGATGTTAAGGTAAAACTGGTAGCTGGTAGCTGCAGAGTAAACCTTCTTTTAGGTAGAGGACCCCAACTGAATGAGTCCTTGCCTATTCACCCTAAAGAGAAGCCTGCCACTTGGCATGCCCTACCCATGAAATACAGAGGGCCACCTAGAAAAACAAAATCAATAGGAGCATAAAACCACCCACCCTGCCAAGAAAAGGCAACCTGGACGTTCATTCTTCAAAATTAATAGCTGTGGAGCTTGACTCCCTTTCCTTACGTGGAGGCTGTATGTTGTGATTTTTCTGCCAAAGAATATAGTATAGAAAGAAAAGGAGTAATTTTGCTGTAGATAAAGCACATCAGACCGGTGACCAAGGTTACTACCCACTGTTACTAAGTTTGATTGATACTTTGTACTCTAATATGATGTAGCTGAGCATGGAACTTTACCTCTATGGTCCTTCTCCCCAAATCCTGTGACCCTAATCTAATCCTGACAAAAACATCATAGAAATCCCAATTGAGGGACATTCTATAAATAGCTAATCAGTACTTTGCAATGCCTGCATGATCATCAAAAACAAGAAAAGTCAGAGAACTCCCAGCCCGGGGAGCCCACGGAGACCTGACAACTAAACGTAATATATTATCCTGGATAGAATCTCATAAGTAAAAAGTTTAAAATCTGAACAAAGTATAGACTTTGGCTAATAATAATGTAGAATTATCAGTTCATTAATGGTAATAAACRTACCATACTAATGTAAGATGTTAGTGATAGGCAAGCCTAAYGTGGGGTATATGGGAACCTATGTGTACTATTYTTATAGCTCTTTTATAAATCTAAAAGTGTTCTAAAATAATTTTTTGAAAATAGTTTATTGAAGATTTTAAATGCAGAAAAAATGAATTGCTTACTAATCACATGATGGCTATCAGTGGCATGAAAGTTAAATGGAAGAACTGACTCTGGAGGACACAGAGTTGATGGTGTTAGAAACAAACAAGTTTAAAAGATTCATGCTTCAATTAGTATCCTGAGATAATTTAAGCCACTGCGTGAACAAAAAAAGAACAAGGTGCTCTTAAAAGGGAACAATCCAAAGGCCAAAAAGAGTTCTTAGAGACTAAATAAATATTGAAATTTTAAAATTCATTAGGAAAAGTCAAAAGATAATACCATGAAATCTCTTAGCATGTAAATCAAAGACAAAGGCAAAGATGGATAACACGAGAGAAAAGGTACATGTAARAGATTAGTTCAGATGCAGTTAACTAATAGGACTTTAAGAAGAGAAATACAATTTTAGTAAATTATTTTTCCCTTAAGGGAAAAATAAAATGATAATAATAATAATAATAAAATAAAATGGATGAACTTTTAATTTTTAGTATCTGTAGACAAAACATGGAATATTAGAGAATAGAATGAAATATTATGAACCACAGCAAAATGAAATAAAGGTACATCTGATTGAATTTGGAGGGTTGGACATGGAGGGAGTGGTAGAGGAAAAGCTAGGCCAATAGTATGCACGTGTGTATGGTGAAGAATAATTGAAAAACAAAGATTGATGGAATAAGAAATSATGTTAAATGTATCATTTAAAACAAATAGAAGGCTCATGGAAGATTGAAAAATAAAAATTTAAAAATTAAAGAAGGGATTTGGGGACATAAGTGACCCCAAATTTTCATTTTGGACATCRGTGGAGAATAAGCCAGATAAAATAACTACAAACACATGGAGAATTCTGAGTCCAGCTGATAAGGATGTGAGTAGATCAGCAGGGTCAGGCTGGGGTGGTGATGAGGGGGAGTGGAGAGTTTGAGGTGGACTCGGGGGATATTGGTATAATGATTGAGCTTACTACAAATGCCTCATTTATCAGAGGTAACTGGACAGCAAAAGTGACCCTCACACTAGTACATCCTACTCCCAAATAACAGCAGTCAGTGCTGTGTAAAAGCTCAACTCCCACAAGTAAGACGTGCCAGGAAGAAGGCAGTGTGCTCTCTCAGCCCTACTGGCGCCTACGCTGGGGCCTCCTGGCTCTCCTCAGGTCTGCTATGTCTGCTTTCCTCACCAAAGGTGAACCTGTCTCAGACTGGATGGAGAAGAGGAGGTCTGTCCAGCCAGGCTTGTGCAGATCTCCCTGGGGCACACCTCCTCTGCCCACCTGTTCTGTGCCTGGGACATCGCCAAAGAGCTYGTTTATCACATTCAGGTGCCTCTTCTCCATCTTGGTCTTCTTGCCCTGCTACAGGATCTGGCACTGTTGACCACCTTCTTGATGCTCTCTGTCCTCCTGGGCTTAGGTGACTTGACTTTTATGATTCTTCTGCCAGTGTGTCTTTTGGTCGCCTCTTTTTCCTCTCATTTCTATGGTACATATTCCCCAAAGCATCTGTCCTTGACTCTACTTTGGGTCACATCCAAACTGGATTCTTCAGAGACAGTGAGCAGATGGCTACAAAGGAATAGATTATGTCCCCAGTGAGCTAAGAAACCAAGTTTCTCTTTATAACCAGTGGGGAGGATCTTGTGACAGGACCAAGTTACTCTGCTGCGCTGTCTCCCAGCTACTGGATTCGAGGGTGGGCACCGTGAAGAGGGAAGAACAAGTAGTCTGTGTGAAAAGCATGCGGCCCATGGCAGAGCACACATGAATGTCAGGAGTGGGAGTTGTTATTATGATGATCCTCCACACTTGRTAAAAGCTTGATTTTTTTTTTTAGGTGTTTGGAGACAAAACCCAACCTTTTATGGCTACATGAGGAGTCTAGTTCACTCAGTGCCTCTGAGGAACGCAGTTAGGGCATAACCTAGTCCCGGTTCCTAGGGCCTCCATGACAAAGAGCCCCCAACTGGGTGGCCTAGAACAGCAGGCATGTGTTGTCTCGTGGTTCTGGACGTCCAGARTCTGAAGCCAAGGTGTCCGTAGAGCTGTGCTTCCTCTCCAAAGTGCTGGGGAAGGGTCTGTTCCAAGCTTTCCCCCAGCTTCCAAGAGCAGCTTGTGCTGATGTTGGTTTCTGCTGCATTACCTCCACCTCTGCTCCACCTGCACGTGACATTCCCTGTGTGCTTCAGAGTCCGTATCTGCCCTTTTAATAAGGACCCCAGTCGTACTGAATCAGGGGTCCATTCTACTCCACTATGACCTCGTCTCTACTGGGGCCTTGACCCCATCTCCAAATAAGATCCACTTCTGAGCTTCTGGGCTAGGACTTCACCTAGGAATGGTGGTTATAGGGCCCAGTTCCACCCCTGATTCAGTGTCTCCTTCTGGCCTCAGCAGCACCACTACGAGTGGGGGCGAGAACGAGGACCTGGAGCAGGAGTGGAAGCCCCCAGATGAGGAGCTCATCAAGAAACTGGTGGATCAGATCGAATTCTACTTTTCTGATGAAAACCTGGAGAAGGAYGCCTTCCTGCTGAAGCACGTGAGGAGGAACAAGTTGGGCTACGTGAGCGTCAAGCTGCTCACCTCCTTTAAGAAGGTGAGGTGGATCCTCGGAAGCCACTTCTGGGATCTCAAGGGTGCTGGGGGTTGTGGCAATCACTTTTTTTTTTTTTTTAGCCTCTCTAGAACCCTGTTGACTAGCCATTTTTTTATTAACTCTGAGGCATTAGAAAAATGATGAACAGAATGGATTTAGGGTCATTATTAACAATATACTTGCACACTATGAAAAGGGTCCTGGGTGTTGGGCCAAGTCTCAGCTGTCCAGTTATGAAACACTGGGACTTGTTCATAGTTGAGTGCCCAGGAGGTTGCTGCACCAGGACAGGGGCACTTGAAGGCCTTAACAGATATCCAGAGCCTAGAATGACACAAAATCTAGGCTTTTCATTTCTCAAGTTGAATATAAAAAGGGAGAGAGTGAGCACCCAGAACCAGGGAGCTGAGCCTCTCCAAGACTCCAGTGTGATGGCAAGGTCCTCACCTATACCACAGAGAACTGCTGAAACTGAGCAGCAGACTGCTTGTCCCTGTTGTGCCTACTCCAGCATTTGGSCTCTGAACTCCCTGCTTCTCGGGGAGTTGACAGCCCAGTTGGAATAAGAACTCTGTTTCCCTTGGGGGAAGTGTATTTACTAGAATGGAAAAGAATCACACGGCCCGTTGCATAATGGGCTGTGTAACAAGTGGGTCCCAGCCAAGTTGCCTGTGCGCTTTGTCAGAGAGCACTGGGGAGGAGCTTTGCTCCTTAGAGCCCTTCTCTGCCTCACCCACAAGTGTGCTCTTCTCTATCTATCTATCTATCTATCTATCTCTATCTCTATCTCTTCTTTATTCCTTTATCATTCTTTCTATTTGCTGAGTGCCATATTATGTATACAGGAGGTACAAGATGAATTTGGGGGCTGGGGCTGAGTGGTAGAACTCTTGCATGTGTGAGGCACTGGGTTTGATCCTCAGCACCACATAAAAATAAATGAATAAAATAAAAGCATCTGTCTATCAACAACTACAAAAATTTTTTTTTWAAAAAGATGAATATGGTATTCTTTCTGCCCTTGAGAAGCTCACCATTCAATAAAGAAGAGAGACCTGTGGCATTTTACCACAGAACCCATTCTACAAAAGACTGAAGAAAGTATTGCTAGGAGTTAGTGGATCAGAGCAAGTAACCCTGCTTGGAGAATCGAGAACTCTCCCCAGGGGTGTGAGATTGGGATAGGATCTTGGAGGATGAGCAGGAGTTGTCAGGGGACAGGAGAAGGGGAAAGGAATCGCATGTCCAGAGAACAGTGAGAGAGCTCTCCCATGAAAAATGTCTGCCAGGGATCCCAGAATGAAGCCTCCAGTAGAACTGCCCTGCACATTCCTTTAGTGCTCCCCAGGGACCTCAAGAGCCAGCCTGTTTTTCTTTCCTTTTTAAGCTTCCACTTGTGGATCTATTCAGGAATGTTCTTCTCTGTTGAAAATCAGCTACAGAATACAGACAGATGCCCTAACACCCCTTAAATAAAAACGAACACCCTATTCATTCAAAGGGTTTCCTGCTAATCATAATGGGAAGCATGTGACAAAGGTTGTAAACATAAGAAAATTACAAAGTTTCTGAAAATCTTGTAGAGTTCTTCTAGAAATTGCACAAGGGTAGAAGCTGCCTGGTTCCTTTTCTAAGGTGGCACCTGGACACTCCTAGTAACAGGTCAGTACACAGGCCTAGGATACTCAGACTCTAACAGAGCTTTCCTAGAGGACCGTGCTGCCCATGAGTTCTGAGGCCCGTGGTTCTGCCAGAGCCTGCTTCTCCCTCCTTAGGATGTGGTCTTCCACAAACTTCTCAGCCCTCTGAGTAAGGCAGCATTTGCCTTCCCCCAAGTACTCCTTACTCAGACTTCAGGCTTAGGAGGCAGTTGCTTCTTCTCTCTGAAGGGTACCCTCCCTATCAGTTTTTTGAAAAGGTTCCACCATGTCTCACCCCAATAGAGCCATTGCCTGGCTTTCCYGCAACGTCACCATGACCAGCAATCATCTTCTTCACACCTAAGCCTGCTTCTCCTTGGCCCATGTCACAGTGATCAGCCCACTGATTCTGTGTGTAGATGATTTGTGATTCCTACACCATAAGCCTAAGTCTGGCCATTTCCTCCAGAGGAACATTGTAGAGTGGACAGTGCCCTCAGTCCAGAGCCTGTCCATTTTCAGGTTGTCCCAAGGTCTCCCTGTCCCACCCAGTTAAGTGAGCCTTCCTTCCTTGATTTCCATGAAGTTTCTGCTGTAGGCTTAGGGGCACCTGGAGTTCCCGATTCCTTTGCAGAGCAGCTTCACTGGCCTGGCCTCAGAGGACTCTGATTTCGCCACTCTTGGCTCAGGTCACCTACCCCACCCACCTTCACTGTTTCTTTGGGATGATTCATTCTCCCTGGCTTTCCCTTCACCGGAAGTGGGCCTCTAGAAAATTACTATTTTACRATATAAATATAGCTTTCATATACTGCAACATCAATATGCACAATTTCCATCAAGGGAGGGGGAGGGAGGGATTATTTCATCATTCTTTAAGAGGCTTAAGCTGGATTTAAGTCCCAGTTGAAGCAGTCCATGTCATTTTCCAGAGATATTGCAGAGAAATAGAGAAGATCTTTTGGAACCTTCTCTGTATCAAATGCAGAAATACGACTTCAGAGAAGGGTTTGAATGTCACAATCTCCAAGTCCTATCAAAACAATAGCACCTAAAATTTGAAATAAAAACAGCACATGATTATTGAATATTCTCTGGGAGCAAGGCACTAGTCTAAATTTTACATGTAATGGTGTGCGTCTTTATGTGTAAATGTGTATTTTTATTCATTCAATCTTCATGACACCTGTATGGGGTAGACACTACTAACATTTCCAATTTACAGATGAGGAAGTTGAGGCACTAAGAGGCTGACTGTTGAGGTCTTGTTGCCAGTTGGAGGTGAGCCTTAGATCTATATATACAACAGCCTTGATCCAACCTACAGGTTTAACCTAGACACTTGTGCAGAATTAAATATTTCCACTGTCATGGAGTGTCCTGTTGGACAGCTCTGAACTGTGCTGCCCTCGTCTGCAGATGTAGAAAGTGTTTCCATTCATCAGATATTTGAGTGCCCACGCAGTCAGGTATGAGTCTAGATATTAGTATTACAGGCATGAGGGAGAGAAGGAAGGGAATTCAGCATGCTTAAATGTAGACAAGGACATTAGGTACCATTTCAGATTTGCTGTATGTTTTTTAGGTGAAGCATCTCACRCGGGACTGGAGAACCACAGCACATGCCTTGAAGTATTCAGTGACCCTTGAGTTGAATGAGGACCATCGGAAGGTGAGGAGGACCACCCCCRTCCCACTGTTTCCAAATGAGAACCTTCCCAGCAAGATGCTCCTGGTCTATGATCTACACTTATCCTCCAAGCTGTGGGCTCTGGCCACCCCCCAGAAGAATGGAAGAGTGCAGGAGAAGGTGATGGAAAATCTTCTCAAGCTCTTTGGGACTTTTGGAGTCATCTCATCAGTGAGGATCCTCAAACCTGGAAGAGAGCTGCCCCCTGATATCCGGAGGATCAGCAGCCGTTACAGCCAGGTGGGGACCCAAGAGTGCGCTATTGTGGAGTTTGAGGAGGTAGAAGCAGCTATCAAAGCCCACGAATTTATGATCACAGAATCTCAGGGGAAAGAAAACATGAAAGCTGTCCTGATAGGTATGAAACCACCCAAAAAGAAACCTTCCAAAGATAAGAACCATGATGAGGAGCCCTCTGCCAGCACCCACCTGAACAGGTCCCTGAACAAGAGGGTGGAGGAGCTTCAATACATGGGGGACGAGTCTTCTGCCAACAGCTCCTCTGACCCTGAGAGCAATCCCGCATCTCCTATGGCTGGCCGACGGCATGTGGTCACCAACAAGCTCAGCCCCTCTGGCCACCAGAATCTCTTTCTGAGCCCCAATGCCTCCCCGTGCTCAAGTCCTTGGAGCAGCCCCTTGGCCCAACGCAAAGGTGTTTCCAGAAAGTCCCCACTGGCTGAGGAAGGTAGGCTGCACGCGAGCACCAGTCCCGAGATCTTCCGCAAGTGCATGGATTACTCCTCTGACAGTAGCGTCACACCCTCTGGCAGCCCCTGGGTTCGGAGGCGCCGCCAAGCTGAGATGGGGACACAGGAAAGAAGTCCTGGGGCAAGTCCCCTGTTGTCTCGGAAGATGCAGACTGCAGATGGGTTACCTGTGGGGGTGCTGAGGCTGCCCAGGGGCCCTGATGACACCAGAGGATTTCATGGTGGACATGAGAGGAGCAGGGCCTGTGTATAAATGCCTTCTATTTTTAATACCAGCTCCATGTGTTTTCAAGGTTCTGACAAATACCTRGCATGACATAGAATGGAATTCAGTCCTCTTTGCAAGATTTTTGTATACATGTAGACCTCTTAATTTATATATTTGTAAGGCATATAAATTGTCTGGTACCCTATGGTTTTGAGATCATCTTCTAGTTCGTATTACCCATTTGTCCCAGCATGGCCATTATTTGGATAGTGCCTGATGTGTGTGTGTGTGTGTGTGTGTGTGTGTGTGTGTGTGGTGGCTCTGAAAGGCTGTGGGACAGAGGGTGCCTGGAGAATGTCTAACAGGTCCCATTTTGGAGACTGTTTCCCCACCACCACCCTGCAGTGATGGAGCTGTCCTTGGTAGGCCATACTAGGGCTTCCTAAGAGCCAAGGTGAGTCTTGTTGTTTAATGGCAAATAGATAAACTTATAGCATGGTGTCTTGTAGGACCAAATGTATGTTCCCTGTCAAGTGAATAAATAATTAAACACCCACTGGAGTGTTGACTCTGAAGTCATAGATGGTGCCTGACAAAAATTGTTCCCATCTGAAAAGGCTGTGGGTGTTGTGCCGTGAGGCCCTGAAAAGCTCAGCAGGGATACATGTTTTCAGTGTACCCCAGGGCAGCCCTGAGCTCTCCTCGGAGCTCCCGCAGGTGAGAGTTCTCCCATCACAGTGAATCTCACTGAGCAGGCAGCTTAGCATGTCATGATGTTTCTCTAGGTAGGGTCCTAAACCAGCAACAATGACATCACCTGGAACTTGTTAAGATGCAGATTCTCTGTCCTGCCCAAGCCTTCTGAACAAGACACTCTGGGACAAGAACCTGGAATGTGGGTTTTGACAAGACTCCAGGTGATTCTGTTATATGCTTAGAGTGAGGACCATTGGTGTAGACCAAGGTTGTGGGTCTGSAGGTGTCAGTTTGACTCTATTTGTGACCTTGGGAATGTACTAACCCCTTGAGCCTCCTCATTTCCCTGGGAAGTGCTTCGTCAGGATGCCTATCTCTGGAATGCAGTTGGCCCTCTGTAACTGCAGCCTTTCCCTTCTCACATGGGTTAATGTCCATTGTCATCTGGGAGTAGCAGAAAGAGCACTGGCCTCAATTCCAGTGTTGACTTCCCATCTACTATTTTAGGGTTTTAATAGAACTTGTGGATAAGTATTGGACAGTGATTATTTGCCTGGAACTATACTAAGAACTTTCCATGCATGATCTAATTTAGTCCTCCCAACAGCCACATGACAAAGGTCCAGGTATTATCTCTCTCTTTTATATGCAAAGAAACAGACTTCATGTGGGTAACCAACTCAGTGGAGTTAGTGGGGCTCTGGAGCTCACACTCTTAGGCACCAGATGGTTCTCGACATTGGGAGTCTCACCATCCAAATTCACAAGTTGCAAACCAAAGGTGCTAGGATTTGCTGAGTGCCCTCCCATGTCGTGCTAGGCATTTTGTTAGACCTCATACAGGATTTATATCAGTTTTACACAGGAAGCTGCCGAGAAATTGTGAAAATGGAAGAAGCCATTGAATATAAAGAAGTACATTTTAAATTATACAGTTCTGTATCAAGAGCAGGCAATTATTATCCGGTTAGTAGGATGATATGTCCCTTGAGGGTCAGAAGAATTCCTGCCAACTGGTAAGTGCCTCCAGGAGTTYTTAAGATTTTCCCTTCCCACTACTACCTGCTGTAGGTAGCCCAAGGGCTTGTGTCTGGACCCCAGGCCTGCAGTGAGTGGCAGCCCCCTCCAGCCTCCTCCCTGTGTCTCACCCCCTACCTCTGTTCCCACTGTCCCTGCCTGATCCACCAGCTGCTCCAGGACCACCAGGCCATCTGGGCTTCCCAGTGCTTCCCAGAGTGGTCTCATCCATGCTGTTCCACCCTTTTCTGTTCTAACACACACACTGCAGCTCTATTTTAGATAAGTTCCCATGGAGCATGATTACTTTTTAAAGTACCTACACCTTCACCTTTATATATGAAGATGGATGAACTTGGCCTTTCCTCTGTGGTATTGTCCTGGGTGGTGTTATCAAAGAGCCCTGAATTTTGAGTCAGCAGAACTGAACTCTAGTTGTGGCTTTTCTAGTGAATAATTGTTTGACCTTGAGCAAGTAATCTCTCTCTTTGATTCATGTTTTCCCCATCCAATCAGTGGCTAACAATCAGATGTTCCTTAAATAACACCCACCTATGGGCAAAGTGCTTTATGAACTGGGAGAGAAAGTACCTAAAAAGCACTTTGCAGATGTTGGTCATTACTCATTCTGCTCTCTGATTATCTCCTCCAAAGACAAACCTTCCTCCTTCTCTCCATGTGGGTTTTCACCCTAGCTTCATGCTAGAATCACCTGGAGAGCTCACCCTAAGATGTTCTGATTTAACAGGTTCTGGGTTGAGGCTCCCTCCAGGATTGTAATAGGCAGTCAGCAATAGAAGCTCTGGCCCATTGCAATGAGGACGGGAGCCTTAGGGACATTGGTTCCTTTGTCCTCTTTCAGGGCTTGGTCCTGGTCTTTTCTGTAGACTTCTCCATGTGGTGCTTATAGTAGTCCAGGGGCACCTTGTTGACAAACCTGCTCTTTCTAAGTCTCTGGGCCAAAGCTTCAACTGCAGCATGGTCTTCCTGTTTGCTAGCATGAAGCCTTTCTTGAACAGCTTGACTGGGAAATCCGGCCAACAGTATTTTTACAGATGTTTCATTCTTTTTAATGAAAACCAGCTCCCTCTCTGCACTGGGACATGAAGCCTGCTGGACATCTCCCCTTGAAGTGCTGGCAGAACATCCTCACTCAGAACACSTCCAAAATACCACCTTGTCTGCCACCCCCTGCCTCCACATATGAGCCCACCTGCTTCTCCTCTTGACTTCCCATGTCAGTCATTGATGTCACCATCTCCTGAGCCACCCAGACTGGAAAAGAGACTGTGTAAAAAATGTGGAGAACACAGGCTCTGGGGTTCGCCTGCCTGGGTTTAAACCCTATTGGCTGTTGACAAATGGCTTAGCCTCTTTGTGCCTTGTTTTCTTTCCCAGAAAAGGTGAATAATAATTTCTACCTTCTATGGTTTGTTAGGATTAGGTGAGTTGATATCTGAAAAGCTTGCACATGGTAAATACTCAAAGACTGTGAAGCTGCCATGTTTATACCTTCTGTTTCCGGCTCTCTCACATTCACACAAGAAGCCGGAGTTATTGATTCTTGCTCTGAAATATTTTATACCTGCTTCCTCCTCCCTGAGGGCTTGACTTGTCCCACTCACACTTCTCCTAAGGTCTGCCTGTCCAGCCCTCCTTAATTCTTCCCATCATACCACCTTATTCATCTTACTAAAATAGAATTCTGGTCACATAACTTCTCTAAAACAACAACAACAATAACAAAAAAAAACTGGCCACCTCTTTCTGTACATAAGGGGAAAAAAGAGACAAACTGCCCTGTATCCCCTGACATGCTGTGCATCTTGTGGAGAAGACCCTCTGAATATTACTCAGTGGGTCCACATCCTTTTGGAGTGTAGGGCAATATCCTGAACTGTCAGRCCAGAGTCATAACCGAAACATGTCCGTGTCTGTGTCTCATTTACTCTTGCATCACTCCAGGGTGTGGCTGGGTTGAAAACAGCTCTGTTTGGTTTCTGCCACACAAGACTGAAACATGTGAACAAGTATTTTTTGAAGACACATTATTTATTGATTATTTTTAAATGCTTTTCCCTAAAACATKAAGTAGCTTTTTCCAGTAATTTTCATTCACATACACAGCTCCTTGTAAGCTGTAAACATGTTGAAAAAAACTCAGAGACTAGCAGCAAAGGTTCGAGGAGGAAAGGATTGAAGCAGCAAGAAATGTCAACTTATTCTCAATACCAACACAGATCTTGGTGTGTGCTCACTTCTTCATGGAAAAATAATCCCGAAGACTACAGACTTAGTACTTCATCCTTATAAAGCATCCTTATAAAGCCTCAGGATTAGCTCTCTGTGACTTGGTCAGTGGGGATGAGGTTTGCCAGCCACTCAGTGGTCTGGGAGCTAGAATAAATGGGATATGGAGCGGGAGGGTGCTCATCTGGTGTGTGTATAACGGCCATGGGCAAACCAGCTACCTTCMTTTAGACCAATTTCTATATATGCAGCTGTTTGCACATTACCTCTGATTTGGAATCAGCTGYAAGACAAGCAGAAGCAAGGTACCCATGTGCCTTGTGACTATACACAGACATTCAATTAAACTCCACAAATATTGTGGAGCAATACCAAGGGTGAAAGAAGCAGGGGGCTAAAGTGTTTTGGAGGAAAGATGAATCCTATGATCCTTGCCTTTATCTGTAACTGGAGATTGCAGTAGGTTCACACCCGCCTTCTCAACACTGCACTAGTAGTTAACCCACCTTCAAAGATGCACTTAGGAAGATCAATTTGTTGTCCAGTGGTAGCCCAAGGCAAATGACTCCCACCATTCTGCTATCTCAGCGCCCTCTAGTGTCCAAACTGAAATATAGCCTCCAAGAGGATCACAGCCAGGACGCACCACTGAGAGTACACGCCTGTGGTTGAGAATAACAAAAACCCTAGTTTAAATTGCAGCCTTGTCATTTGGCAGATGACAAGACATGCCCCTCTTCTTTAAACCTCAGTTCCCTTGCCTGCAATATGAGCATAAGCATGCTCACAACACCAATGGTCTTGTAAGGATTAAAGGGGTAATTTGTGGAAAGCAAACCATCCTAGCATAAAGAAATTGCCCTAAAAGATATGGTGTCACTAAAACTGTCAGATATAAACTCCTTCTAAGTCAAAAGGATGGGAAAGACTTATCTAGAGCACTCGTCACTTTGTGTTATACTCAATTGCTTATGCTCCATTTCTTTGCTTCCATTTGAGCCACGTGGAAGGGACAATGTATGTCAACACATAGTATCTGGCCCTCGGCAAGAGCTCAGGATTTATTTATTGGGTGGATACTGAATAACGACTTCTTTTCTATCTTTAAAAATATTGTAAAGTGTCATAAAAATTTAGTGTTTTCAAATATCTAAGAAGACCCTCTTGTGAGCATCTAGATTCTAAGGGCTCCRTGATTCAGCATTGGTTGGCAGCTTCCCCTTGTCCTGAAAAGCTTTGGCCCTGAACTACACCATGGAACCTCTGCAGGTCTCATCATAAGGAGTAGAAAAGCATATAATGCATAACAAAGTCTGAGATAGTGACTCCTGAGCTCAGAACCCCTGAAAAATCTGAAGAGTGAGCTCCGGGGTTGGATGGGGAACTTGTTTAATAGGGTGGAAGCCAAGGAACTTWGGGATCTTCAGAAGCCAGGACCCAGGAAACTCCCTTGCTGCCTTTCTCCTGTGTGAAATGAGTGACAGTTCCACCTTGAAATGTCTGGAATACATTCTGGTGGGCCAGCCTGACAGGTGAATTCAATTACCACAGTGTTCTTCAGTCTCTAATACGTCA